CCAGTGGAATTGCTTTTAATTGAAAATAAGCTCTGGTGATATCCCCAACAGCATGCGGTGCTCTTTTTAGTCCCGTGGAACCCTCACGGAACCCTGGTGGAACCCTGGTGGAACCCTCGTGGAACCTTACCTGAGGGCCGCCCCGGACCACCCCGGAGCCTATCTGGGCTGAGACCCCAAAGCTTTCAGCTGTTGAGGAAAAAACTACAGAAAGTCGACTCAAAATGAAAATTTGAGTTGCGTGTTTAAATATTGACTGATGTGTAAAGAAAATTATATTGGAAAGGAAATCCCGTGTAACATCCAATTTGACATAGATTGTAATTGAATTTAATTGCATTGTATTCTGATTGGATTCGTTCCTTATCGAATTCTATTTAAACTCGACTGAATTGTCAAAATCAACAGAATGCAGAACAAGTATGTCCTTATCGTGTCCTATTTGAGCTTCATTTGTTGTTTTCTTCAGAGCTGCCGTTGGAGAACATGTGAGTTTAGTACGAAAACCTCTACAAAACACCGTGTTTACGATGTGTTCTGACCCTGGTAGTGCTTGAATGTTTGAAATTATGCTTAATGTCTTTATCAAGTTCTACTCAACTTTTAACTCTATTGTAAGTATTTATTTACACTGCATGTCCTTTCCAATAGAATTTCGCACGGCAATTCACATTTAAGCACATCTTATTCAAATTTCAAATTAGCCAAGTGAAACAACAAATACAGACATGATGCATGCGCAAACAAGTCAAACTACAGCTCCGCATCCAGCCAGCATCTCCAGCATTGCCAGCATTGCCCAAAACACAGACACACACCAAAGGGTGAAGACGAGCGTGTTCTTTGCTAGCCTAAAAGTTCTGGGCAAATATTGGACATTGCCTGTTCCCCCCACTCTCCCCACACCCGCACCCGGCCCTACTATGTTGACCCTAACCTCTATCAGCACCGAGTTGGCTGTGGGTCAAAACCCTGTACCCCCTGTGAACATCAAAATAGGTGGCAAATGGATGTTCATCCACCCCAAAATGGAGCCATAGGCAATGCCCCGTGGCCAGTATAGGGCCGTCACTCCGAGTTCGTCCTCCGGAGGCGGAAGAGGCCCAGCACCAGCCACTGGTCGGTTCCGGGCCGGGCTCTCCTATGCCGTCAGAAGACGCACAGCACTTGCGACTAGGCCCAAGGCCCATTTTCCGGAATTCGGTCTGGAACACAATGGTGACGTCAAATCCGTTTTGGTGTTTTTTAGACATCCCGTTTTGGTTTTTCTCCACATCCCGCAGTCCTCTGGAGGTATGGAATCAACTCCCACGAACTGGACAGATCTGAAGCCAGGCTCATCCTGGCTTGCACACCAAAAACGCTTGCACCATATCCAGCGAAGAAAGGCGACACAAAAAAATCAAGAGGGACTTGCTGTACATTGCCACACTGGTTCCAACCTTAGATCCCAAGTTACTTGACACGCCATCCAAAAAGAGGATGACCAGTTCTTGGAAGCTTCTTTCACATGGCCATGGGTCAAAATCCCGTACCTCGACTAAAATAGGTTCTAAAATGGGTGGTGAATTCACCTACCCCAAACCACATGCGCTGCTCCTGGCCCAGCATAAAGACCAAGTGCTTCTGCTTTGGCGACTGGGCCACTGGGATGGAGATGACCTGCGTGAGTGGTCAAAACTCCTGCGTTGAGAGGGGCACATTTCCTTTGGATCACACCCCTCTTCCTCCCACCAGGCTGGCTCCTTCTGGCATGCCATGCTTGGTTGCAAGCTTCCCCCTAATGCCCCTATGGAGGGGCGTACCTGTCGGCGATTTTGTGAAGTTCACTTGTTTTTCACTCCAATCCCTGCGCCGCTACCGTGGGGAGTTTGCAGCTGTCTTTAGGGTGTGTTTAAGGCGTTTGTTTAATGTTGTTTGGGGGGTCTCCTGAGGGCTTTAGTGTTTAGGATGCTTTCAGTGTTTGTTTCTAGACTTTGTGTTGAGGGTGTTTAATGGGGTTTTCCACACTCCACGATTCCACACACTCCCTGGGCCCCACACTCCACACTCCCCACACTGCACTCTCCCCAGACACCACGCTCCACGAACACTCGACACTCCACACACTCCACACACTCCACACTCCCCACACTCCACACTCCCCACACTCCACACTCCACACCCCACACTCCACACTCCACAGCCTAAAGGGCTAGGCCAGCTCCAAGTCAAATGTCAAACATTTATCAGCCATCAGAGTCATCAACCATGTATAAATCCTCAACATATCAATCATCCAAATCAAACATGTGTCAAAACCCAACATATTCTCGGTGGAATGAGCCTGAGGCTCTAAAGTTCCCAACAGGGTTTTTGCGCAGACTGTAACGAGCCGGGCAGTCTTGTCACATAGGGCATGCGGGGGCTGAAACGAATGTCAGCCGCGGCTCTCTTGCATAGCCCTAAGGAAAAGGTGCCGAGTGAGCGTCGAGCTCTCAACAAGCTCCTGCTAGATGCATCACTCGACCTTCACAAACTGAGAACGCAATGAAAGCGGGACAATGATATCACCAAAACGCCGGGACACAATCTTCATGACCTCCGGCATAGCGCTCAACGACTACACGCATGGCTTTCAACCCTAAGGGATAGGCGCGGGTAGCTCCGCTTTTTGCAAGTCATTACAACACAAAAGCATCCTTAACATAGCGCAGGTACCGACAACATGTGCAGTACACTCTTGCCTGTCACAGAGAGACTGATTGCCAACGTGACGGACGCGGGCCGGGGGGTGGGGGGGAGAGGGTAATGCTTTTGCATTGATGGCCCAACAAGTTTTGCACAGCAGCTGGGCAAGCTGTGTATTTGTAATGCGTGCAAGTCCTTTCTTGCACTTTGGCACAGTAAGTTGCAGCTTTCGACCTTGCAATTTTGAGTATGAAAAACAAATTGGTTTTCCAACTTTGGGCACATTAAGCTGCAGCTGTGCACCTCGAAACTTTGTGTCCGGACGGACAAAGCGGATGCAAACCGAACGTGTCGTGTTGTGTGGGCTGATTCTTGCGACAGCTGTTCCCGGGTTGTTTTGTGCTGTGCCAAAACGCGTCGGCTCCCACAGGTTTCTCAAACAGCGCTCTTTGGGTCTGTTGCTTCGCACCTGCTCGATGGGCGCGTCCACGCTGTCTTTGCGTTCCGAGTCTGAGAAGGGCACGGATTCCTGACGTCGAGAACCCAAGAGCCAAGCCGAAGACCTGGTTTGTTTGTCTGCAAATGAGAACAAAAAGTTGGTTTCTCTTTGACCACAAAATCCAGTACCCTTGAAACAGCACACCTGCCTGCAGATCCAGCGAAGCGTGCTCTGTGTGCTCCGGGTTATCAGGCCTATGCACCTTGTGCGCAAGCGCACGACGTGTTGCTACAGTGAGACTGTATGATGCAGGTTCTTGCAAGCCGTGCATACGCTCTTAAGTGAATGCTCTCCAACAACAAATTCTACGGCATTGCGCAGTGAAAGGTTGTAGACTTACAAGAATGCATGCTCAATTGATGTGAAGTTTTGTTGTCTGCAAGATTACTTAGCAAATTGCCTTGCTTCGGCCCCACTCAGGGTTGACTTTGGGTGGGGTGGGTCCAGTTTAGACTTTGGGTTAGCTGCGGGATGGGTGTGGGGTTGGTGCAGGGTGGACTAGGGGTGGGCTCCTGCTGGTTTAGGGGCAGAAAGGTGCTGGCGCAGATGAAGTCAGCACTGGCAAAGTGCTGTCGCATGATGCGGTGGCAGTTTGCTTCATGTTCCACACCTGGTGGGAAGTTTTGGAAATCACCGAAAAGGTAGAGTGCACATGATCATGAGCATACTGGCAGGCAGTGACTCTGAAAATTGGACGGCGGGAATCAGCAAACTACAGAAAGCGTGTTGCCACGGAAACTTGCAAAAGGTCAAGAACAAAGGACAAAGACAAAGCAGGCAAAAAGGTTTGAAAAAAAGCGTAGCAACCAAACCTATCTAGCAAGTGCTGTCTGAGCAAAAATGGTTGCACTTGCTGAAAAACACATTGTGTTTGCTTGAACACAGAAGACAAAGATCTTGACAGAGTGTCACCTTCCGCATTCAAGGGTAGACCATTCTGGTTCCCTCCGGACGCCTCTGGCGATGTGACCGCAAGCTTGGCTGAGGCGGTGGCATCAGAAACCGCGCCTGAGCTTTGTGAGTGCAAACCATCCTGCACGGCCTACTGGGATGATCTCGAACCTGAAACCACTCCTGGCCATTTCCGGGAGGGCTGTGCCTGTTTTGCGCTCATTTTTGCAGCCAACGGAGCAGGGCTGTGGCAAAAGCCCGGCCAGACCAAACTGACCCCGAACGCCAAGCCCGCTGCTGTCAGGCCTGGCATGCTGTCAATCAAGGAATCAACAGCGACTTGGGAGCGGCGCCCTCACTGACTGTCTTTCCGATTCTTCCAAACGCTCAAAAAGAACAAGCGACATCAAGCTTTTGGTCACCACTCAGCTCACCCTGAGGCTTCTGGCTGAGCTGTTTGTGTGGGCAGGTGGCTCGGTTCTGTGTCCTGACAAGACTCGCTTTCGAATCCGCAAACTCTGCAACTCGGTCCTCTGCATCATCCGTGTTGTCGAAGGCTGCAGAGTTCCCGTCACTACTGCCCTGGGCTTCCAGCAGATAAAATAAACTCCCATTTGAACGACACAAAACGGCCATGGCTCAAACTCAGACCACAAAATACCACAAAGCTTCAGTGGGTAAAGGGTGCGATCCCTGAACGGTCCCGATTTCTTTGGGGCCAATCACACGTCGGACGGGAGTCACCCTGCCTTCAAGGTGGCATAGGCACTCTCCTCAGCACTCATCCCTGTTCTTTTTGCGGGGTGTGATGGCGCTCCCCGAACAAACGCACCTCTGCCGCACTTCCCCCATCTGTTTTGTCTATTCTGAGGCCCTGGGGTACTCGCCTGCCGGCGAAGCTGGGATGCCTTGGGATCGCGCTCAGGGCCCTTCCATCTGTGCCATGGTCCAAACTCCTTCGTGTCCTGGTCATGGTTCCCTGAATGGCGACCCTGATCCTCAAGGCGACCCTGTATCCCTTGATGGGCTTTTGACCCTAACGCATCTGACAGGATCTTAGGGCTACTGCCGCACCACTGAAGGCGAACGACCTCACAGCGCCAGCGGGCAAACATGACCTCGGCCTTTTGAGCAAGTCCCTGGCTGTGTCGTCTCAGAGCGCCCTGTCGGCGAGGTAAAGACCTATCCAATGTCAGCTCCAATGCAAAGGACATCTCTCCCTCTCTTGGATCCAAGCGGCGCTGGTCTCTCGCCAAACACCCTCCTACGAACATGAGAGCATGGCAAAAAAGTCACGCGCGAGAACGAAACCAACGCGCCTCGCATCCAGATGCAGAGGCAGCCGCTTTGGCCTCAACTCCAAGAGCTGTCAGGAAAACTGGGTGTCTGGCCACTAGCCTCATACTCTTCTGCCAGCTTGCTGTAAAACCTGCGGTTGATGCAATGCCAGGACGACACGGAAACAACGCACAATCCGTTCCAAGCACAAATGACCGTCCTGTCCACAAGGTCAGAGCGACATACAGGTCGAAGAAACTCTTCGGGATCAAAAGGCACGGTGTGAGAGATCAAACTTAGCAGGGCATCTGACATCTGCATGCGCCAAGACACGTTCGCGGTCAAACTTCATTGGCCCTACAAATAATATTTGACTTTGTTGTGTGTGTGTGTGTGTGTGTGTGTGTGTGTGTGTGTGTGTGTGTGTGTGTGTGTGTGTGTGTGTGTGTGTGTGTGTGTGTGTGTGTGTGTGTGTGTGTGTGTGTGTGTGTGTGTGTGTGTGTGTGTGTTGTGTGTGTGTGTGTGTGTGTGTGTGTGTGTGTGTGTGTGTGTGTGTGTGTGTGTGTGTGTGTGTGTGTGTGTGTGTGTGTGTGTGTGTGTGTGTGTGTGTGTGTGTGTGTGTGTGTGTGTGTGTGTGTGTGTGTGTGTGTGTGTGTGTGTGTGTGTGTGTGTGTGTGTGTGTGTGTGTGTGTGTGTGTGTGTGTGTGTGTGTGTGTGTGTGTGTGTGTGTGTGTGTGTGTGTGTGTGTGTGTGTGTGTGTGTGTGTGTGTGTGTGTGTGTGTGTGTGTGTGTGTGTGTGTGTGTGTGTGTGTGTGTGTGTGTGTGTGTGTGTGTGTGTGTGTGTGTGTGTGTGTGTGTGTGTGTGTGTGTGTGTGTGTGTGTGTGTGTGTGTGTGTGTGTGTGTGTGTGTGTGTGTGTGTGTGTGTGTGTGTGTGTGTGTGTGTGTGTGTGTGTGTGTGTGTGTGTGTGTGTGTGTGTGTGTGTGTGTGTGTGTGTGTGTGTGTGTGTGTGTGTGTGTGTGTGTGTGTGTGTGTGTGTGTGTGTGTGTGTGTGTGTGTGTGTGTGTGTGTGTGTGTGTGTGTGTGTGTGTGTGTGTGTGTGTGTGTGTGTGTGTGTGTGTGTGTGTGTGTGTGTGTGTGTGTGTGTGTGTGTGTGTGTGTGTGTGTGTGTGTGTGTGTGTGTGTGTGTGTGTGTGTGTGTGTGTGTGTGTGTGTGTGTGTGTGTGTGTGTGTGTGTGTGTGTGTGTGTGTGTGTGTGTGTGTGTGTGTGTGTGTGTGTGTGTGTGTGTGTGTGTGTGTGTGTGTGTGTGTGTGTGTGTGTGTGTGTGTGTGTGTGTGTGTGTGTGTGTGTGTGTGTGTGTGTGTGTGTGTGTGTGTGTGTGTGTGTGTGTGTGTGTGTGTGTGTGTGTGTGTGTGTGTGTGTGTGTGTGTGTGTGTGTGTGTGTGTGTGTGTGTGTGTGTGTGTGTGTGTGTGTGTGTGTGTGTGTGCATGTGTGTCCCCTCAACGTCTTTGTCATCCTTGCAGCAAATGACCATGCTGGATCACCACAACTCACACGCAGCACATTGTGGTGACATTGTGGTGCCTCGCTCTTGAAGAGCTTTGAGCAAATGAGCTCGGCACTCGTCTCCATTGGACACCGTCGAGGGTGCACTGCTAAAGCTAACCGCTGAGGCAAACTGTCCTGTGCAGGGATGCTAATGACAAGTCATAATCAGTGCAGCACCACTTCTTGCGATTTCAGGCATAAGTGCACAGGTAGAAAGCCATTCCCAAAAAGGGACTCTGATTCTGACAAAAGAACTGATTCTGAGAACAGAAAGCGCAACACCGATACAATATTATCCCGTTCTCAGTGGCAGGACTCTTCTTGTTTGAGTTCTGCTGCAGGTTGGCTGTTTTGCGCTTGGGTTTGGGAGTCAGCGATTTTGCCCCCATGTTTGTCATTTGCATTGAGATTTCATGGCCGAGTCGGGACTTAGGAGTCCGGTCATGCTGGCCCTCCATTAGGTACGTCAACAGGTGGTGCGCTTCCGCTTCAAAAGAAATCCCAGCACGGCTGCGAAACTTGGGGGTTTGCGTGTTGAGGTTGACCTGGAACTAGTTTCGAGTTCGAAATCCGATACGCGCCATAGCTTTGCGTTGGAGACTCTTGAGCTCCATCCAAAATGCTTCGGGTGAGGAGGAGGTGGAAGATAGTCCAGGCTCATATTGGATATATGATAGGATGACAAGGATGACGAGGATGATAAGGATGAGAAGAATCGTATGGACGATAAGAATGACAATGGCTGGTAAGGACAACAATGACTTAGTTGCACGGCCAATAAGAATGGCTGGGATGGACAACTGCTGAGGATGATAAGGACAGTAAGAATGATGTTGGCATGCCTTAGCCTGAAAACATGTTCTACATGCGATGGGGCTGATTGAAGATGCAGCAAGAACACTCAGTCTAATGCCAACACCTGTTTCAGTGCAGTGCTCAAGCCTCTCCTGGCCTCGGCCCCTGCTGTGAGACCTTGTCGCCGGAAGTCCTGCGAATATGCAGCAAGCTGTGCCTCGAATGTCAGCTGACCACAGAAACCAGCCGCTCCTGCCGCATCAAAGTCATCATCTGGCGCGCCGGATAAGAGGAAAAGAGAAACATCGCAACCGAGAACTGAGCGAAATCCAGCTTAGGACTTGGCCCAGTTGACTCAGACACATCAACTCTCCGCCTGGCGACTGGGCGCGGCGGCAGCAGCGCCCCAGCCAGGAAGCCTGGCGGGCAAGCCCGGACCAAAAACCCGGAGCTGTGCTCAGATTGAAACACCTCGCCCTCTCGTGGGTTTGGGAAAAGAACCCTATTATAATAGAACGGAATGCCCGAATTCTGCGGCAGTCGAGCCCTTCAAGCAACCCCGGTGTCGTCACGTGGCCAAGGCTCAATCTGCGAGACGGGTTGGTTTGTCTACGGCAGGTGAAAACCACAACTGCTAGGAGCAGGACAAAGAGACAGGCCTTGTGATGTGCCGGTGGCTCGTCAGGATCCACCGAACCACAAGGCGGCCATCTGTGCAGAAACCGAGGCGCAACGCTCAACTGGTGCAGCGCTTGAAATGGCCCTTCCCACCAAGAAGTTACCGACCCTCTCGGGATTTATAGCCTGCCAGGGTTGTAACCCTTGGCGGTGACAGCGATTCTCCCTCGAAGATTTGCCATCTGCAGGGGCGGGGGGAAACCATTCCGAATCCTGTGCTGATTCCAATCAGTATCAGACCGGCAGCCAGCAAATCCGGCCTGATGTGCAGCTTTGGCCAACGGATGCGAGAAGCTGAGCCTGCTCACAGTCGAGGCCACAGCAACCAAATGTAGGACAAAGAGTCGACAACAAGATGTGTCAAGGAAATCCAAACCCAAAGGTTGCACACATCTTGGGCAGCCAATTCTCACGTGCATTGATGCGCGGCACCTTCTCCATCATAAACCATGAGTCTGCCCTGGCAGAAAAGTGCATCACTCTCAATTCCCAGAGAGCAATGCCTGCTCACAAGGCGACGCCTGAAGTCATGCCCTGCCAGCGACCCGTAGCTACAGGCCGACTTAGCGGATCGTGACTTAGCAGATCAGACGTGCCATCTTGAGCACGACAGCTGCGAGCACCCAAAAAAATAGTCACCAGACAGCTCTTCATTCGACCTAGTAGACCCCCAAGACTCCCAAAACCTGCGTTCGCCATGATGCCATGATGCCGAAACCCGTTTTACTTTGGCTTGCGGCTTGCACCAGGGCATTTTCAGCCCGAAGCAAGGTCTTGTCAGCGCCGGTCAGGCAGGTTCCCAACATAGACGTTGGAATGCCTGGCAGGCGCACTTCCATAGCTCTTTGCTCTCCCCCCCCTCCTCCTTCCTCCCCCCTTCTCCCTCCCTCCCTCCCTCCATCCCTCTATCTCGCTCTCTCTCTCTATCCCCCGCTCTCGCTCTCGTTTTCTCTCTCTCTCTCTTTCTCTCTGTAAGCGAATGTTTGCACGGCCTGTCAGGTTTTGCTTCTGCACATATTCTGCGCCCAGCGTAGGGCTCAAGACGCTCGGGCTTCTCGTGCTTGCAGGCCCACTCAGGCTTCGGCAGCTGCAGGGTCTCTGTCCAGTCATCCTCGGAGGCTCGTGGGCTCCAAGGAAAACAACACGTGAAGCACTCTGCTGGTCTGTCCGTCCCAAACCCAGAGGGCTCAAGGAGAATTCTAGGCATTGGGCTTTGAAATGGCCCCAAAGTCAGTGAGACGAGCCCACCCGGCCTCTGGATCCTCGTCACGGCCTTCACCCCTCTCCTTGATTCGCTTGGCCTGCCCAGGGAGTGACTTTGGGAGATAATTGCAACTAAAAGCCCCTTGATGGACATTGAAAAACAACACTGGAAGTCCACCGGCATGTGTTTGATACCCTGAACAAAAATTAGTGGACCCCTTGGACCTCGGCGGGGTTTCAACAAAACAAACGCCTCCTCGGCATCCAAAATGGCTTGGTGCTTGTCGAGGATATCAACGATGGCATTGCACCCGTTGGTCAAGGCAAATGTCATCGCGGTTTGGCCACGTGCAGCCCTCGCGTTCATGTCGGCCTCAGGGCCAAAAAGAACTCTGCAAGCCGTGCAAAACCCACCCTGTGATGGCTCTGATCCATCGAGTTGCCAACCGTGAAGAAATGCAACAAAGGCAAACGCCGGCCTCACAGTCCAACAGCATCTTGACGCCATCCGCACTGTCTCTTCCAGCCGCCCACATCAAAGGAGTAAAGCCCGCCAGATCCTGGGCATTGACGTCCGCCATGCCTTCAATGAAGGTTTCGATGGCCGGCAGGTCGTGCTCCGTCACGGCCAAGTGAAGAACACCGCGTCCCCGGGGGTTCACGGCATGCACATCTGCCCCGTTGCAAAGGAGCATCTGAATGGCTTCGCAGCGCCGAGACTTTGGGATGGACTCGTCCCAGCTGCCAGATTTCGCCAAGATGTGCAGCGGCGTCTCACCTTACTCAGCTCTTATGATGCCTTGCAAGCGTCTCTCAGACTGATACAGTACGTCTTTGGGAAAGCCATTCAGCATCAACTCACGGGCTCAAGTGCTTGCCGAGAAGGACTGATCCCGCGAATGAAATGAGTCTTGTGAGAATTTGTCCAGGACCTGCAATTGGCTTAGCCAAGGCACCCATGTGATCTCGGCTGTCAGGGTCTGCCCGCGCTTCGCACAGAGCCTTGATGAGCACGGGGAATGCCTTCTCCGCGGCCTTGTGAAGGGGCGTCGTCCCATGCTGCCCGTGGTAGTTCACAGTGGCACCTAACATTCCAGCTCCGCACAAACAAGCAAAACATGTCAAAGAAATCGCCCGCTGGCCCACTGGCCTCTGCGCACCAATTCGATGGCCTCCTGTTGTGTCATCTCGCGGTAGGAGGGCGCCTCCAGCAAATCCGGATCCACATCCGGACCTCTGGGGATCTCGGCCTTTACCTCCTCCCAAGTGGGAGGCCTGGCGAAGCGAGCGAGACAGCCAAGCTTTTATTTCCGGCAGCCAGGCAAGCAGACCTGTTTACTTGCCGGCCTGCTCGTTTGCTCATTGCCCGCTTGCCTGCTCGGATTGGTTGCCCAGCTTTCTTTGCCTTTTCCTGCCTTGTGTGCCTGCTTGCGTGTGCGCTTGCTTGTACTAGTAGAAGGCTCACACCGGCAATCCATCCTTTGCAAATCTAGAAAACGCTTGATCGAGGGAAACACCTTGGTGCCGTGGCGTGCGCCGCCATGTATCCTTAAAAACTGCTCACGCACAGTTCCGCTTTGCCGTGCCTGCGCATCTCGTGCAGCATCCGGCCAGCTGCGTCTGCTTCCTTCTTTGTCTGCAAGGACCTTACCACTGAACACAAACCCAATCACTACATAAGTGGAATAAGTGCAAGCAGGCCGCTCAGGCTCTTCCTTCACAAAGCTTGGCTGCAGAAGAACCTTCAATGCTTCCTCCTCCGACTTCTCAACGTTGGCTGCCCCCTGAATCTCAGGCGCCCAGTCGTCATCTGAGTCCTCCCGGGTCGACCACTCGCATTGCGCTGCGAGTGAGCCACTGGCTACACTTGATACAGAAACGACAAACATTCATCCCAGCCGCACGGACGGACTGGAGGGTTTCCCCTACAATTGTCACATGCATCTTGAAGATGTTCTGTCTACATCAACGCAGACCTTCCTTTGGGCGCCAGGTTGTGCGGACTCTGTGCAACGATCCTCGTCCTCCTCCTCCTCATGCTCGGCACCCTCGACTGGGTCCTCTGCACCTTGCACTACGGGATTCCATTCGTCCTCCTCCTCCTCCTCTTCCGACTCCTGCTCCTCGTCCGCTTCCTGCGCCTCACAAAGTTCACGACCGGAGGAAAACAAAATGGCACAAAACATGTGTTCCTCCATTGAAGCAGCCGCCAGAAAGGGTAGCCCCAACTGCAATGCCTTCCATGTGCAAGCTTCGGGCAATACCATTGGCGAGGTGAATGGCATCCCTCCTTGAGGGAGTCTTTGCGACACATCCTAATGAGGAGACCATGTACCCATCTTTCAACCATGAACCTGCAGCTTTTGACAAAGGTTCGCGTCTACGATGCTATCACTGTGGAGCACGGGCCTGCCTGTGTGCTTTCTCTTGCAATATCAAAACAACGTTCTGGCGATGGCTGCCAAAGAAAATCCCGAGCGTTGCCTGTCCCTGTAAGTGCTGCTAACACCGGAAGGTGCTTGTTTGCGTGTGTCACGAGTCTCCTTGACCCATCCTCGTGGTTGTAAATGAAACAAAGGTAAAACCGACCAGTCACAGAGCTTCGCCGGGAACCCTTCTGTTGCTGAGGCGCCTCTTTCAGGAAGTCCAATGCTGTCTGTTCCACCGGTTTCCAGTCACTCCATGGATCTTGGTCGATGTAGCCAGCTGTCATGGCGCAGCCAATCACAGAAGCTAGCCCTTGCACATCGGAGACTGTTGAGACCTCTGTCCGACTTTGTCCTTCAGAGCAACTGGCAAAGTGAGGATATGTTGGACAGCCCATGCAAGACCAATTGTTCCGGTGGTCATCGGGCAAAGCGGCTCAAATGCAAAGGTCGTGTTCACGGCGCTTGCATCACTGTTACACTTCCATCACTCCTTGAGATAGCAATGCCTCACCACTCTCACATTCGGCACAACCCCTGTACTATGAAGCTGCACCTCAAATTCGCTTGGCCAATGCAAATGATACCGTGGTCTTCATGTCTTGCGGCCTCGGAGGCTATCCCGTGAACTCATGTCATTGCGTGCATCTGAAACAAAAACAATGTGAACATTAACAAAGCATTAGGCGACACCGGGTGAAAACTGGTGCCCAAACCCTAAACACAAAAGCAAAAAAATGGGTGATCCGTCTTGCAGTCTCTTTGGACGTGCATCATGGATGGCCAAATTCTAAATCGGACTGACTCCCTAATAGCTTCCCAACCGTCAACACCACTATGCTACGCGACGCGCACTGCTTTCTAACAAGATCTAAAAACTCATGCAAAACAACAATCAAGGCGCGTCCCTGACGTGCCTTTTTTTTCTTGGTTGCGTAGGTGCTTAGGTTAAGTGGGGTGTTCAAGCGGGACACAAGATGTAACACAAGTGGCAGATTTACCCCCGTGTGAAACTTAAGCTCTACAAAAGTGAAGTGCACGGTTCAACTTCGAGAAGGCTACATTGAGTCCGTATGAAACAAGTTCTAGTGTGGGAAAAACCCGCGCTCTTTGCATTGCCGTGCCAAGGATGGGTAGAGCATGTTTTAATGAGCATACTTTGAGTAAGAATGCAATTGCATGGTTTGCAAAACTTAGAACTTCACAAAAGTTTACACCGTGGCTTTTCACCAAAGCTAAAGGCTACATGTTTTGAACGTTGGCGCCGCTCAATCGTCAGGCTTCTGCACAATTGAACACGCAACACCCGGCAAAAGAAGCTGTAAGCGTGTGGCGTGTGTGGGGTTTTTTCCTTGCATAATTTACAGCTTGTGTTTTAAACCTGTTCAAATCTTCGGCCGCGTTGCCACTTCTGTTCTATGTGGGACCAAATGGTCCGAGAAGGGGTAACCTTCTAAAAAGGCTTACCGTGTTCGACTCTTGCATGCTGCATTCCGCGCGAAGCCCAACAAAATCTTCAAAACGTTCGACCTCTGCGAGTTTGGTACTTGCACGCGGTGTAAATTCTTCGAACAGGCGGTGTCACATAAAAAACATGTCTAACAGCCCGCGGCTTGTCAGTTACCACGCACTGCTAAGTTTGCCAAACCACCTCCGTCAACCTGTTTGCCTTGCTGCTGAGGTGCACAGCAGTAGTGGTTTGCCACGCAGGTCTACAAGCTAGAGAGAGAGAGAGAGAGAGAGAGAGAGAGAGAGAGAAAAAGAAAAAGACACCTCTGCGCCGGGGCCTTGCCTAAGGCGCCATCCCTCCCGGCTTCGCAGGGGGCTCCGGGCCCGTCATTGCCCCCTCCACTTGGAGCTCAGACTGGCCGAGCGCCCCAGGCTCCGTAAATTCGTACAGCGCCCGCAAAGAGGACAATGGGGAGCACCCTGTCGCCTGCAGAAAGCAAATTGGGGAGCACCCCATGCGAGCAAGCTCGCGAAACAATCGGGAAGCGCCTCATTGAGCGCCAGTGAGCACGCCTTCAAAACAATTGGGGGCACAAGACAAGCGGGGAGCACCCCGTGCCCGCAACAGGCGAGCGCACGCAAGACAATTTGGGGAGCACCCCATAGGCTGGCACACACGCAGAAAAGAATAACAAACACAAAACCGTCAGGGGAGGAGAAGGAGCGGGAGAAGAGCACCCGCCAGTCACGCGCCTGGAACACAAGCCCGGGAAAGAACTTGCCCAGGAACGTCACCAAGCCGTAGTCGAAGATGGGTACCTCAAGGTCGGCGGAAAGAGCCGGAGGCTCCAAAAGAACAGCAGCAGCAGCAGCAGCAACAACAGCAGCAGCAGCAGCGGCGACAAAGGCAAGGCCGGCAACAGCAGCGGCAGCAGTAGAAGCAGCCGCAACAGCAGAAGAAGTGGCAGCGACAGCCACCGCAAGGCGAACAAAGGGAGCAGAGGCCAGCAGAAACCGGGCGTGTGGATTGGTTTGCCTCTGGCGCACCAGTGACCACACGCGACCAAATCGTGTGGTGGCACCCCTGAGCCTACCGGAAGCGCCCGGCCCGACACACAGCTCGGGCTGGTTCGTTTAAAGATCTGCTTTGCGAACCCAGCAGCAGTATGGCTTTGTGCTCCTGAGGCAAGTCTGCTAGAGCACCTTGGTTTTTGCATTTTAAGACTTTGGATTTTGCGGAAAACACCGCAGGCTTAAAGCATTGTTTTAAATTAGAGCAAAAATTATTTGGCACGGAACTGGGCCTATATTCTTTTTGCTTGGGTTTTGCTTTGTCGGTGATCTATCTCACCCAAACCCTCTAAGATTGAAAAAACCATTCTTGCGCTTGGTTTTCTGCATTTTTCATGGTGCGCTTGAAATCTTGGTTTAAGGCTAATTTTCCATGATTTTGATATTGAATTGTGATGATTTCAATCTCGGACTTCATAGAATATTCAAAGCCCGCGCTTGAAAAATGACTTTTGGCAATATTGAAATTGATGAGTATGCACAGGGCCAAAATGGCTGAAATATGCCATGCTCAGGATCGTAGTGAAATGAGTTTGAGAGGCTGTGATATGCATCCCAGCAAAGCATTCCAGCCCATGTGCTCAGAAAGAACATCATATGCTTTTGGCATGTGTTGGATTGCATGGCGGAATCATTTCTTTCAGGATCAAGCCTGCCTATAGGTAGTTGCCTGCAATCCCGCCATGGGGAAGTTGGGTCAGCCAGAAGCACCATGTGAAAAAGCATACGGTGAAGAGGTTGCCCACACCAACTTGCAGCAAAGCCTTGCTGGTCAACAACCTCATTGAGCACACCAAGAAAGAAGGCACCTCCAAAGCTTTCAGCTTTGGCTGCTACAAGGGGGTGCTGTTGAACAATGCTGTCAAAGGTGCTGGCTTGCTGGCATTGGAGGCATTGATCATGTCTTTGCTGGCTGTCAGCAAGAGTGGCCTGTTCAATTACACAGATCTCAAAGAGGCTGTGAAAGAATGCAGCAACCAATTCCCAGTTTTGTCAGACAGGCCCATGTCGGTGGGTGGCAAGCAGGATCCTGGTTGTGATGGCCCACCTCACAAGGGTCAAGAACAGCAAGGTGAGGATTGGGCAAGCCCAGAGCAGCCTGACAGAGAAAGAAAAGGAGCAGTTAGAGCAGCTTGCAAGGCTGGTGCAAGACTTACCCTACAAAGGGACAAGCACCAGCACTCTTGGCACAGAGAGCATGGCCGAGTCTGATGTGGGCCTTGACTTTGAAGCACTGGCTTGCAGCCCTGTGCCTGCCAAGAAGGCAGCAAACAAGAAGAAGATGGCAAAGGCTAAGGCCAAGGCTCTTGCCATTGAGGAAGTTCAGGCCATTCTTCCACGGAACCTGCTGCTGAGGGAGAAGGCTGCTCCAAGATCTACCTGACATACCTACAAGTTTTGGAGGGTTGCAAAAAGAAACACTTGGTTTGCATCAATGAGAAGCAGAGCAAGTCCCACTTCAAGATCATGAACAAGATCAAATCCACCATGGAGGAGATGGGCAAGCTTGACCAGGGGACGGCAGTGCTGAGAGATGCTTTGCTTGCATAGCAACATAGTGCCTGCAGGGCAGCATTTTGGGGCGCAATGCACCTTTCATGCTGGTGCACAGGGGGGGGGGGGCTAGCATTTCTGCAGTTTGGGAGCCAGAGCCTGCACATGGTGGAAAATGTGTCAAGCTTGCTTTCGCTGCGTCCTTGGAATTACTATGTACTCCACAATGGTGGCAACTGTTTTTGTTGCAGGCTGAAACCTGCCTAAAGAACAGGTGCAGTGCACCTAAACATAAGCTGGGAAAATTGCCTACGAGACCTCCTCATCTGATTAAGCCTTCGCAGCTTGGCTGCCCGCTCGGTATCCATGTTGAACGAAAGCAAATGCAGAAAACAGCGATGCAAGTAGCTATATGCAAGTTACAAGTGAAAACGGCCAAGCTCAAGGTTAGCTAGTGGAAAGGACAAGCTAAAGGTTATAAGGGAGGACAGGATGAGCATTGCTTGAAAAATAGGCTGGGAGATGCCTTGATGTGAAGGCTATGTGAAGGCTGTAACATGCCTGAAAGTAGGCTAGACGATGATTGGTGGAAAGGGCCATGGCAAAGTGGTTTTCTCAATGCTGCTAGGTAGGTTACACAGGTGTGTGGCTGGGAAAAGGCTGAAACATGCCTCTAAACAAGGTGAAGCCCTTGGAACTTTTCCAATGTTGCTTTGTGCGCTGCAAGGCCAGCAAGGCATGAGGGCAGCATGTATGCTCAAGTACTTGAACTGCACGCCATCCAGGAGTCAGCCATGTCGCGGGGCAAGGGCTTTGGATGGGGTGAGGATTGGCACCAGCCTTGTTGGGGCAAGGGCAAGGGGAAGCACAAGGGCTACTACCCCCAGCCCTATGGCATGAACCATGGCAAAGGTGCCAGGAAGCTGAGGACTGTCCTCAGAGGGGCCTACAGTGAGGATGATGCCAGCAGCCCCTTGGCTTGAACAGATGGTTGCTTGAACCTGTGTGGCCATTTTTCCTAATGTGCAAAGAAACGATTCAGCCATAGAGCACAACAGCTAGCTTGTCATTTTTGTTAAAGCAATTGTGGATGGGAAGGGTTTAGGGTTCAGGGTTTAGGTTTAGGGTTTAGGGTTTAGGGTTAGTAAGGGAGTCCCTATAAAATGATCCCTGTAAATTCGCACTCTTGGCATGTCTGTGCATTTTTATGCATGATCAGCAGCTTGGTGAGGCTACATGAGTTTTCCAGAGTGGATGGATGAGCAGGGCTCCCTGCCTGTGGTGATCAACCACATTTATCCAGAAAGCCATGGAGGGCATGGAGGGCAAGGACCTGGAGGGCAATCTTCTGGGCAAGGCGGTGGCCATGGAGGGCAAGGCTCTGGATGGCAAGGCCATGGAGGGCAAGAAGATGGCGCTGGCAGCTCCAAGAAGAAGTGGACTCCTGAAGAATGAAAGCATGGAATCTTCAGAAGGGCTGGGCTGGGCAGCCTGCGC